TGTTTGATTGAGAATGTTCCTTTACATAAGATGTGGTAAAAAGACCTTGAACTTCAATTTCTCTGAACATTAAAGAGAAGGGGGGTACTGGCAGGTGGCACGATGTTTAAGGGCGTTGGACTCTCACATGGCCAACCGTGGTTTGAGTCTCTGCCCTGGCGGCTTGTTCTCTCACTTTCTCTCTTTCTCTCTATCTTTCTCTGTCCCTCTCTGGTCAAATTCAAATAAAATGAATAAAATTAAATAAAATAATTCTTAAAAAGAGAGAGAGAGAGAGAGAGAGAGAGAAAGAGGGGCCAGCCAATGGCATGGCGGTTAATGCATTGGACTTCCACGGTTTGAGTCTCAGACCCAGTGGTTTGAAAATCATGCTGGGCATGTCTGCATGTGTGCCCAAACTTCCGAGAAGAGAATGAAGGACAAAGGATTGTGGGATGGCCATCCTCCCTGGGGGATGACTTCCCTCTATTTCTCTTTCTTTTTCTGGCAAGCCCATGCACTCTATGGTAAAAATTAAAAATGAAAAAAAAAAAAAAAGAAAGTTATTTCAGCTTTGGTCTATGTTTTTTCATAGAACTTGACGAAGGGAGCACAGCCATATTTTAAAAATTCAGGTAGTTTCAGATCAATGGCATTGTTCTCATTTGAGCTCTTGCAAAGCCACCGGGGAGGAAGCCTCACTGGATGACATGCACGGGGCATTAGAAGTTCTTTAGGGGACTGGCCCCATAGCCTAGTGGTTAAGGGAGCCAGATTCCACATGGCTGACCACAGTTCTAATCCTGTGCTCTGCAGCCTGAAAAGCATGCAGGACTCATGTGTGTGTGCCCCAAATCTCAACAGGGTGAAGAAATGGAGGAGAAGCGATTGCAGCATGACCATGTCCCTGGGGGAAGGAATGTGCTTTCTCCCTCTTTCTGTCTCTCTGTCGCTCTGTTGAGAACATACATATCCTTTGGCAATTAAAAAAATTAAGTTATTCGGGCCTTGAAACTCAATCAGCTTTTGGGACTAGCATGTGGTATAGCGGTTAAAAGCACTGGATTCCCACATGGCTGACTGTGGTTCAATTCCCAGACCTGACAGCTTGCTTTCTCATTTTCCCTTACACACTCTCTGTCTCTGTCTGGTCAAACTAAAAAATAATAATAATAACGAATGGAAGTAAATAAATAATTTAAAAAATCCCAACTCAATCAGATTTGTCAGTAATAAAGGTGATACAATCAAAACAAAGCCTACCAAGGTTAAACTTTCAGATGCCTGAACCCTTTCTCTCAAATCCCACATCTGACCTACCCACAGATATCACTGGCTGTCATTCATTCGCAATATATTCAGACACAGGATTTACAAAAGACCAAAGAGAATCACAGCAAATTCAGAAATGGACCCATCAAGTGACATCCAGCCTCCTGATTTACCACAAAATGTGATTCAGTGGGTAAAGGCGAATGTTATTTTTGCAGTAGATGATGCTGGAGCAATTGATTGTCAATGCAGAAAAGACAATCTCGCCCCCCACACAGTACTGAGGTAAATCATAGATACGTGCGTGGTAAAAGAATAAAGCTTATGGCAAAGACAGAAAACATTCTCAGGAACTTGGGGAGGCCAAAAATATCTTACATAGGGTGCAGGAAAAACGATCCACAAAAGAGCGGTACATTGGAGCAGATTACATCTAAGAACGTGGTCATCAAAAGACATCAGTGGGAGTGGGGACAGGCATACCCACAGCCTGGAAGGAGATACAGCGGGATTTATTTCCAGATTGTATAAAGAACTGGAAATACATAAGAAAAATATAAAGTACTCAATTTTTAAAAGAGTTTTTGCCTTAGGGCCTGTGCACTCACTGGAGAAAAAGAGAGACAAAGACAGTGAAAGGGAAAAAGAGAAATCACATCCCAGGGGGGATGGTCATGCCACAATCCCTTCTCCTCCATTCTCCTCCTGGGATCTTGGGCACGCACACATGCACCCGGTGTGATTTTGAAGCCACCAGGTCCAGGACCCAAACCATGGTCAACCATGTGGAAGTCCAACACAGTAACTGCTATGCGATCCGCCCCTAAACTGCTCAATTTTACAAAATGGGCAAGGCCAGCAGTGGTGGCGTGCGCTGCTAAAACACTCTGCTCTGGGGCTGGGACCACGTGGGAGGCCTGGGTTCAATTCCTAGTCAACCAAAAGGCTGCGTACGGCAGTGGGAATTGGTGGTTCCACCTTCTCAAGAGGCTGAGGCAGGAGAATTGTGAGGTCAAAAGTGTCCTGGGTAACCTAGCAAGACCCTGTCTAAAAAACAAGCCTGAGTTGGGTGTACACACTCTAGCCCCAGCAGGGAGGCTGAGGCAGGAGATCACCACCCAGTGAAAACCTGTCTTATAAGGAAAAAAAAGAAGGAGAAAAAGGGCAAGAGACTTGCTCAGGTGCTTCACAGAGATATGCAAGGAGTAAAAAGTGGCAACTTTATTAGTCATCAGAAGTATGCAAATTGAGGGACCAGCAACTGGCGTAATGGCTATGTCGCTGAACTCCCATGTAGTTGACTATGGTTTGAGTCCTGGACCCGTTGGTTTAAACTCACACTGGGCATGTGGGTGTGTGTGCCCAAGATCCCGAGAGGAGAATGTAGGAGAAGGGATTGCGGCGTGGCCATCCTCCCTGGGGGGTGATTTCTCACTTTCTGTTTCTCTGTCTTTCTGGTGCATGTGCCCTATAGCAAAAAAACTCTCAAAAAGCCCCAAAAAACAGAAAACAACAACAAAAAGAAGTATGCAAATTGAAACTAGCGTAATCCATAATTGCATGCCAACCAGAATAGTTTTAAAAGATAAAGCCAAGACAGTCTACCCCAGACTCAGAGCCCTGCCCATCCCCCATCAGGGCCCCAGCTGCCTTCATTTCTAGCCTGGCTTGCAGTAATGGGCTCCACCCTGGCCCCTTCCTCCACACCTACCGCTCCTCTGGAGTCTATTCCCACACTGCGGTGAGATACTGCTTTACCCACACAGATGAGAACTCATCGCTCTCCTGGCCACCCTGCCCAGGGCTTGGACTGAGTCCAGGTGCTGTGTGTGGCCCACGAAGCCCTGGGAGATCTACCTGACTTCCTTCCCAACCTCTGACTCTTCCCTGTGTTCTGTGTCTTCAACATGCTGTGGAAGAGGCTGTTGCTTTCCAGGGGTCCAAGGCCCTTCCCTCTGGCACCCCATGAAGTGAGTCCTCAGTGGTCACGGTGGCTTGCTTTGTCCAGTGAAGTGACTCACGCATCATTCTAATCAGAGACTCAATCAGTCAGCGAGAGCTTCCTGTCTCTCCCTCTGCCGGCAGATTCCAGGTGAGGCTGCCCCTCTGTCTGGCCCGCAGAGAGACAGTTCTGAGCTGCAGTGGGCTCCCCATGGATGCAGAGGGTAGGTGGGAAAGGAGCCACCGAGGTTTCAGGGCTGTTTCCACAGCATGACCTGGTGTTAGGCCGTCCTGGTGGTGGACCTGCCCTCACTCTTCCTCTGCTCCTCTATCTTCTTTCTTCCCAGCGAGTCAGCCTACAGCGCCATTGACTGACCATTGATTCCTTTGTAACCATATATGCACGCCTCACGCTGCCAGTTCCAAGCCAGCTCTGTCCAGCACAGGTGAATGTTGCAGCCAAGCTGAGCCAGCAAAAGTGAAACATGGAAGTGAAACATGGCTCCGTTAAGACAATATTCAAAACCAGGCAAAACTGTTCTCTTTATTGAAGCATATGTAGGTTGCAAAGTAATAAAAGCAAAACACGTACATTATCCCAAATATCGACAGTGATTTCCTTTAGAAGAAAGGAAGAGATTTTGGCCAGGGAGGGCTGCCCCAGGGTGCTGGCAATGTGATACATTGTGACCAGTGCAGTACTTACTAGGATGGTCACCTTGTTCTTTATTATTAGTTTTGCTCCAGGGCATGTGTACTTACCAGAGACAGAGAGAAGGAAAGTGAGAAAACATCCCCCATCTCCTCTTGGGATTCTAGACACACATGCACTAGTGCCTGGCATGTTTTTCAAGCCACTGGGTCTAGGACTCAAACCTCATTTGGCCATGTGGGATCCTGCCACTTTAATCTCCATGCAGTCTGCTGGCCCTTGAATTCTTCTTTAAACCAGACTCAGGTTTTAAGTATTTGCTGTATGCATCACACATCTAATTAAGAATATGACAGGGCTGGCCTATGTGGGCTGGTGTTTAAAGGAACTGGATCCCACAGGGCCAACTGTGCAGTTGAAGTCCTGGCCCCAGCAGCTTGAAAAAACGTGCCAGGTGTGTGTGTGTGCACCCCACATCTCAACGGAGTGGAAAAATGAAGGAAATGCAGTATGACTGCGCCTCATTAGGGGGTGCTTTCTCCCTATCTATCTTTTTCTGGTGAGACACACACACACACACACACACACACACACACACACACACACATAAATATATATCATGAAGGCCAGCTAAGAAATGCCACATATGCATAGTTGGGAGATTTCTAAGAAGATCTAAACAGAATAAGTTAATTATTTGATGTAATTCATCCTTGAACATCCATAAATCCCATGAAATTGTGGCTTCATTAAAATATGCTGCTAGACTCTGTTCACTAATACATACATATAGATGTATATACTAAGAATTTTACCTTGTTTCTTTTTGCCAGAGTGAGACAGAGACAAAGTACCCCTCAACAAGGCACTGTCATGCCACCAACCTTTTTTCTCCATTCCCCCTTCCCATCAGAATTTTGTGCACATGGGCACACGCAGACAGTGTGTTTAATCAAGCAGCTGGGACAGGGACTTGAACTGTGGTTGGCCATGGTTTCTTGTTCCTTATGCATAGGGCTTAACCACTGCGCTAAGGGGCTGGCCCATGTCTGCTAGTATTGTCTGTAGGGTTTTTGCATTCAGTAAATACTGGGATTTCCCTTTAATTCTGTGTGTCATTTTTGCCAGATTTATTGGTGGTGTTCTCATTTTACAGAAAGAATTTGGAAGCTGTCCTGTTTTCTGCTTGTTCTGAGAATAAGTAACTCCATTCGGGTAAATGAGATGTGACATGCTGGATATCGTGTCTGCTCTTCTCTGTAACTGGCTTTTCTCTGCCATCTTGCCATTCATCCGAGGTAAGGTAAAACCCCACACAGACCAAGGCACCAGAGGTAGGCAGAGAATGGCAGCTTCTTCTTTTTAGTTTTGCTGTAGAATGCATGCGCTCACTGTGGACAGCAAGGGAAAGTGAGAAATCACTTCCCTGGGGGAATGGCCATGTTGCAATCACTTCTCCACAAGTATCCCCCTGGGATTTTGGGCATGCGCGTGCACACGCATGCACACACACACACACCCAGCGTGATTTCTTTCAACCCACCAGGTACAGAACTTGAACCAGTCAACCACATGGGATCTAATGCCTAAATTATGTTACCTGCTGGGCTGGCAACTGTTCTGATTGGGTCAAAGGCGTCACGAGACCTCTGGGCTCTTCCAGTCAGAACCAGTACATCTGACGGTTGTTGGAAACAGTTCATTAGATTGTTACCTGCAGCTAATAGCACACTGGGATAACTGGGATATTTCCAAAGTGGTTTCCTCTGCTATAAAGTGAGGCTCTCCTATTCTCAAAAAGGTATGTGGGTTAACTGAGATAAAGAGCCTGACCCAAAGAGGTCCTTTTCTTCCTTTGCTCCATGTCAACCTCAGCTCCCCATGCCATGCTTGGATTTTCAAGGAAGGTAATTCAATTTCCATGCCATTCCCAACCTGGTCATTTGCCATTTCCAAAGCCTTTGAGATTTGTATTCCCTGGCCCTGAAGGGACTTCTCCAGGCACCTAAGGGTGCCAGGAGCAGCAGGTATTAGGAGATGCCTCTTCTGCTTGAGCACCCACTCCATGGGGAAAAGACCCTTGCCCCTTTCATCCTGCAGTGCCAGCTGGAATATTTGCTGAGGCATGTGCTACATTTGGCGCACTACTGGCAGGTGCACAGCAGGTCACAGAACCAATGGTGTGGCTGAGTCAGGGATTATGTAAAACGAAGTGCTGTAGGGAGCCATTTCTCAGGGCCTGCTAATATGCAAGATCACAGTGTCTGGGGTATCTCACAATACTTTCTACATCTGCATGTTTAAATAGCGCAAAAAATTATGATGCTATTCCATCAAATGACACTGAGCTTTGATGAGAGCAAGTTAAAAAGTCCCAGTTGGTGGGACCAGCAGATGGCATAATGGTTATGTCGCTGGACTCCCACAGTCAACCCTGGTTCCAGTCCCAGACCTGGTGGCTTAAATTCATGTTGGGCATGTGTACGGGCACACCCAAAATCCTAAGAAGAGAATGGAGAAGGGATTGTAACATGGCCAACCCCTGGGGGGGATGATTTTCCACTTTCTGTCTCTGTCTCTCCAGCGAATGCACGTGCCCTATAGCAAAAATCTCCCTAAAAAAGTCCCATTTGACTAATTAAAATTTGGAAATCTTGATCACATCTCTTTGGGAAAATTAATATGGACTGTGAAATCCATTCTGAGAACCACTAAACAGGGAAACTGGCCCATGCGATGCTCAGGAGTGCCAGGACTGTCTTACTGCCATCATGAAGATGGGGATTTGTAGTACTCATCTTTGTTTTCTAGCTTTGAATTTGTTTTATCTGCTGCTGGTACACAAGCAATCCTGCATTGTGAATCAAGGACATAATCCACCACTCAGTTTAGATACTGCAATGACCACATCACCAATCTCTTCTCCAAATGTTCATTCAAAGAAGTGAATTTTTTCCGATGAACAGGGCAGTGGTGACCCCACTGTTGTCTTTAAGAAACATTTGAAAATGATTCCCAATGCCTGTATACACACACAGTAAACTTGCCACATCTGACTCAAAAAGCAAGAAATGCTTTCTAGGAGCAAACGGAAAGAAGAGCAGTCACCACCACTGCAATCAGATGTGTTGACACTGACTTAGGTCCCTTCCAGCAGCTCCTCTCCACTTGGTTTGTCTCACGTCCCCACATAATACCCAGGACGAGAAACAACAGTGACTTCTGGACCTGAATTGATTGCAAATCAAAATATTTTTTGGGGGGGGGCGGGGGGGGAGGGTTTTGCTATAGGGTGCATGTGCTCGCCAGAAAGACAGAAACTGCCAGAGACAGAAAGCAAGAAATCACCCCCCAGGTGGGGAATGGCCATGCCGCAATTCGCGTTGGGATCTTGGGCATGCACGCACACGGGCCTGGCGTGAGTTTAAGCCACCGGGTCCAGGACGCGAACCGCAGTGAGCTACATGGGAGTTCAGCAACATAGCCATTTCGCTAACTGCTGGTCCCCAAAATGATTTCAAGTGGCTTTTCTATTCTTTGTTTATAGAACTCTGCTTGGCCCCAGGACCTACCTGAAATCATTGATCTGCCACCAGTAGACTGCCCAAGCTGCTTTTACTGGGCTCCTCTGTATCAAGTGTGATCCAATTACACCAAAAATATCAGCAACAAGACATGGGACGTCCTCGAGACAAGCCTGCCATCAGGGTCTGGAACCATTTGTTCTTATTCTGCAGGCTTATCTTACTTCAACAGCAATGTTTGAAGACCCTTTTCAATAGCATTTTCATTTAAATAGACTTTGAGCCCCAAAGCTGATTTTAACCAAGTTAAGATACACAAAGCACAATTTCTGCCATCCTCTCTCTTCAGATTCAGTGGAAATGTCTCAGTCTCCTCAACTGTGATGAAACTTAAGGGAGAATAAAAAGAAATTATTTGTATTGATTTTTCTGGGGCCATGGTATACAAGGATTAAAACAAAACTACCTGCATCACTAAGAATTGCCATGAATTCATCCAAAATTACCTATTGTAAAAAAAAAAAAAAACATGAAACAACATAGAATCAAACCTAAACAAAACCAGTGTTCCAGCAACAGAATCAATTTTAGAATTTCACCATACAGCAATTGACTTCCATGAAATATATGTTAAGCAGTATTTTCTTCCAAACATTAAGCACGTAATTACGACAAAGCTATTTTCCCTTACACAGAGTTTTAATGAACTCTACCTCAACTCCCACTATGACGGGTAGATGGGAGTAAGTGGATGTATTCTAGAGCTGGACATTGAGAAATCCACAGGTGTTCCACCTTAAAGATGAAATACACAAATGCCAAATGTAGTTTCAGATGGTGACATGGACCTGTGCTGGGGTTTGCCTTGCGGCTTAGTTTTAAGTCTGAAGCCCTAACCCTTGCAGAGGTGTGGTGTGAACCTGCAAGAGGACAGTTACCCTCCCAGCACACAGATGCCTTGAGTCATTATGACACAAGAAGTTTGGGGAAGTCACGTCCAACAGGTTCTTTTGGTTGTTGCTTTTTAGAATTTTATTATCTTACAATTTGCTATAGGGCAGGTGAACTCATTGGAAAGAGATGTAAAGTTGGGGAGAGACAGAGGGAAGATGAGAAACAAAGCTGCCAGGTCTGGGACTCAAACTGTGGCTGGCCATGTGACAGAAAATATACTTAAAGGGCCTTAACCACCATGCTCCCTTGCCTGTTTTTAAGAAGACGGGTCTGCTAACAGGGCTTCTTTCTTGGTAGTTCAATGAAATAGCAATTCACTAAGATGAAGCAGCAACACACACACATAGGTTCTTCAACTGCTCCAGAGGAGCATATTCGTATTTTTCGCACCAAGCATGTTTCAAGGATATATTGGAACTCTAAGCAAAACAAGAAAAGTCATACTTAGGAAAGAAAAGGATAACATTGAGGAGGTCCCAGTCTAGGGGTTAAGGAAGCCAGATCCCATATGGCTGACCATAGTATGAATTCTGTACCCATGGCTTGAAAAACACACCAGATGTGTGCCCAAAATCCCAGAGGCACAAATGGAGAAGGGACTGTATGCCCTGTTGGGAGGGTGCTCTCTCCTGCTCTCTGTTGAGTGCACAATTAAAACCAAAAAAGAAAACACTGACAATGGTCCACTGACTGCATCTGATCACCAGATGAGCTTTCCTGTGAACACCAGAAAGTTTAGAAAAGGTGTATATTTACAGGAGCCCTAAGAATCTGCTAACGAATGAGGAAAGAGATCCCAATGGGCTTCCTATGCCACCCTTGAAGAGAAAGTGAATTACTCGTTCATATGTAGACAGAAAGGAGAAATAGATCTCTCATACAAATTTTTTTTTTTTTTGATTAGTTTTTATTTTTAGCATATGAATTTTTTTTTTTTTTTGATTAGTTTTTATTTTTACAACTCAACCCGCGAGCCTCCCAAGTACCATTTCAGGAGCTGTGGGGGACAGGAACTGCTTAACATACTTCTCCCTTGTCTCCACATTTTTACTCAGGTAGCTGGACTGGCCTATATACACAACTACTTTTTAAAAATCAAAAAAAAACAATTTTCACACAGAGTTCTTTAAAGAACTCCTAGTAATTCAAATGGTCCAACTGCAGTTCTCGCAGAGCACTGGTTTGGTGTTTGGCTGGGATAAGGCCTCCCGGAAGGGCAGGCAGGCTGTGTAGGGGTTCACGTCTATGCAGCCACTGCAGAACCCTCCTCTGCAGGTGCAGCTTGGCCCCCTCCAGGATGGCATCTCTGCCTCCAGGATGGCGACAGGCAGGCCTAGAGCTCGGGCCCGCGGTCCGGCCTCATACTGAAGGGCTTCAGCCTCTCGGCCTCGGGCAGGATGCTGTTGAGCCTATCCATGAGCGGCACAGTCTGGTCAAAGCCCATCTGCACGCGGTGCAGGATTGTGGACATCTCGTTGACCTTCTGAATCTGCTTGGTGTACCTCTTCTGGTGTCTCTGCATGAAGCTGAACAGGGTTTCCATGGACAGGTCCATCTCTTTGATTCGTTTAACCAAAGCATGAGCGAAAGCCCCGGCCTCCACACACTGCCTGATAGAGCAGGCAGTTGCAACACCTGCTGGGAATCCAGTTTCTCCAGTTTTGGATTGGCTGGGGACGTCTGGCCACTTAACAGCCCTTCCAAAAGCAGCTGGAAGGTTGGAATCTCTTGCAACTTAATGACATCAAGATCACTGCTGACATTCCTTGAGGCCTGGGAGCCCTGAGCTACAACCACAATATTGTCCATCTTGGCTCTATGCTTCACTGGAGGAGGAGTCATGGCTCCTGCACCGCGGACTCGCTCCTTCTGGGACGCGGATTGCCCCTATATGAATTTTTGCTCATCTGGTATGTGTTATTCTGTACCCTAAGTTTAAAGATATAGTTTTATGGGGCCAGCAGGTAGCGTGGTGTTTAAGGAACTGGATTCCCATGTGGCCAACCATGGTCCAAGTTCTGAACCTGGTGGTTTAAAAATCATTCCAGGCATGTGTGTATGTGTGCCCAAAATTCCAACAGTAAACTGGAGAAGGGATTTCAATGTGGCCATTCCCCTGGGGGTTGATTTCTTAAACTGGAGAAGGGATTTGAATGTGGCCATTCCCCTGGGGGTTGATTTCTCACTTTCCCTGTCGCTCTCTGGCAACATACATGCCATGTGGCAAAAACCTAAAATAAATAAATAAACAGTTTCATTTATATCCAAAATGATAGACAAATACTAACTTTACCCCAAGGACATATAGTGGCAAGCTTAAGGGAAGAGAAACCTAGAACAAATACTCTCCACAAGAAATACGCTACGCCAAGAATACTGTATCACTACAAATTTTATTCAGAAACCCATCTTTTTTGTTTTTTGTTTTTTAAAAAAAATTCCCATTATGAACTGGTTTGGTCATCAACTACAACACTTTCTAGCAGACATACGGTAAAAATGGCATGGCTCAGAATCGCCCAGATCTTTCACGGTCTCTTGACCGCCTCCTGTCACGCTCCCGTCCACCACCGCCGCCGCCACCACCACCGCCACGACCACGGTCTCTAGACCGAGAACGCCGCTCTCGGGATCGGGACCTTGATCTATGCCTGCAACAGAGAAAAGAAACAACTGTGGCACTGCGCCAGGACATACAACAAATCCATAATCAGACACTTTTAGAGACTGTATCTGATTGAACTGATGACACTTAAAAGTCAAACAAAAAATCCCTGCCAATTAGATTGCAAGCAGTAACCCTGAGGTGCACTCTGATTATTTCAGATGTTACAAGTTGGAGGGAAAGTGAATTTCTGAATTATATCAGTACAGTACTCTTGTCTTCTAAGTCTTTTTCTAGAACCAAGTTAATCATAGGAAATCATATTTACAAAACCACATCTCTGACCCTCAGCTCTCACCTGCCCTTCGACCATGCCTCTCCTCTGGTACATAGCTACTATGTCCACCAACCCAATTTTGGGGTAGGAAGAGCTGGGCTATTTTTCTCATATGTTGCTTTTTGCTGACAGTAAACCAAGAATATCTGTATTTCTTGAAATATGCTTAAACTGAGAGGGCTGAGAACCCCTCAAGGATTGGAACTCAGTCTACTGACGAAGTGTGACTCCTTTTGCTCCCTGACTCCCTAGTTTTCTGTATTTAGTGACGTCACTGCCACATATTCATAGGCAGGACCAGACAAATAGGAACATTATACTGATTTCACCAGTAGCCCAAAGAGACAATGCTATTCATCACCCCCTTGCCAAGATAAGATGAAACAGCACCCCCAAACCAACAAATCAAACCACACAAACCTGAATGGGCATATCAAATACGTGAAGGAAGCTGCAACACCTTACTGGGAGGATAAACTATGCGCAGCCGATTACTGGAACTTCACTTCAGTGGTTGCCCATTTCACTACGCTGAGTTAGAGTCTTATGTGCAAGGCTGGACAATGAAGCTGTCATCTGTGTGCAGTGAAGTTTTCTTCAAATAGCACATCCTGGTATTTTAAAATATGCACCATGTTCTAACCAGTGCCTTTTAAAGAATGAAAATATCACCAAGGCCAGGCTTCTTCTTTTTTTTTTTTTTAGGAAGAAAAGTAAAGAAGCCTTCTACAGAAGGCCCTGGATACTCACTTCTTGCGCCGGCGCCCGTACAGCTCCCGCCGCAGCTCTCTGGAAATGGGCTTCAGGTGCATGAAGTTGCAGAAGCCTCCTCGTGTGCACTCTCTGTGGGCCGGAAGCAGACTCTTGTTACAAACTGCACTCCATACTGTGTGCACTTTGCTGATGCACAGGTGGCTGTGTCCCAGGCCAGACCCTGCACTCACCCCATTTCATACTGGCGGCAGCAGGCTTCTCTGAAATCGGTCACAGGGGAGAGCTCAGCATGGATCGGCTGCCCGTTAAACCAGCGGTTATTCAAATCAATCACAGCCTTTTCTGCATCTTCTTCACGGCGAAACTGAGAGGACAAAACAAAAATATAAAAAAATGCTTGCCGCCCACACCCGGATAACACATCTTTGATTATCCATCTGACATATGGTGTGTACTCACTAAGGTAAAATAATTAAAGTGGAATATGGAGAACAATTTAAAAGCCAGCCAATCCTTTATTTACAGTTAAGATGAATTTCGTGATAGTTCAAGATCATGCCAAATGTTGCCTTTGTTTACAAATTTAATTGTGTAGGCCAATGGAAGTTTTATTAAGAAAAGAAAAAAGCAGCAAAAAACTAACTTCTGCTTAATGCAAATAGCCTCTAGTCCACAGCCATTAGATATCCTTCACTACAGTAATAGTGACCCTGGCATGCCTTCCTACTTTCCAATGTTGCTGACAGGGTACACAGCCCAGCTGGCTACCGACACAGGAGATGCAATTGCTCAAGTGCACCCGAGCCCGGGGAACTGAACATCGAGGACTTCAAAGCCAACAGCCACTCAAGCAACCTCGCCTGGCATGCCAGTCCCAGTAAGCTGAGCACAAGTTCCCCCCACTGCCTCCTCGCTCCTACCTTGACATAGACGTTCCCCACCAGGTGGTCTCCCAGGTTGTCGCAGACATTCATCTCTTCCACTTCCCCATACTTCTCCTCCATTTCTGTAAAAACTTCCTGAAATGAGAACACGTGAACAGTGGTGGAAGGTCACTACACACTGAAGAAGACAGGGTCATTAAATATGACTCTGTAAGTTTATTCGGGGAGGAAAGTTTTGCCTCCTTCCAAAGGCAAGGAAGTGAACAGGTCTATCAGTTCCAGACTCAATGATCTTACCTCGAAAAACTCATCATAGTGTTCCTGCATTTCAACATCGCTCACAGCACCTGGAAGCAACAGAAATCTTGCTGGTTAGAGCACAGTAACTGAGATGTTTGTGCTTAAGCTCAAACTGCTACAACCACACACGAGATCATCTAGAGAACACACAGGACGGAGCTGCACTCACGGAGCTCTGAGGAGCCTGGGCACACAGCCACATGGCAGCAGTGTGAGGAGGGGTGAGGCTGTAACACCCCTGCGCCAGTCTCAATTCTGGCTGTTAAAAAGTTATTAAAATCGCAACCAGTTTTAATCATCATCGAAAGGGCCACAAATTCACAAGTGAGAATAAAGTTGACTCTGAGTAATTTTTAAAAATGAAATGTCCTTCCTTTTAAGATTTAGAACAGAGGCCAAGTAAGCACACTAACTTTCCCTTTATTAGGTTGAATGAAACTGCCATCAGGGCATGTGATTCAGAGCCACGCTCCCAGCCAACTCTGCTCAGTGATGGTCAGCAGAACACTGCCCACTTCCTGTAGGTGGGACTACCACCCAAGTGACCAGGAAGACTCAGCAGAGCAAGAACTAGGTAAAATCCCATCTTGGATGTCTTACATGGAGGGAAATGATAATGCTTTGTTGAAGAAAGTATCTCTATTTTATATTCCAAGGCTATTTTCATCAAATTAATTCTTCAAAATTCACAAGCACTACATGAAATCATGTAGTACAAAAACTTTAGAAATTTACATTCTGTTCCCATCATTAGTCCACCAAATTTTACTGTTTAAATTCTAGAGTTCTCTTCATCTAAATCCAAGAAATTACGAAGCTGGCATGTTAATAAACGGATGTTTAGGATGGCAAGGGCGCCAGCAACCATCTCTGACTGGTTTCAGGCTGGGTGGCCCACCCTTCCACTGTCACCTGATACAGGCGACACTCTTGAGTACAGACCAGGAGACAAGCCTGTCTATTTTACCTGGGCCCCCACCAAGGGCACTTGCCTGGCAGCAGACTGGGCTATGAAACCCTTTTTATCTTTAAGGATAAGAACCAACCTATTTTCTGATTCTGAGAATGATATAAGTATACTTTCTAATCTACCTGAGGCTTTTAGTTATTTTTAAATTTCCAGGGATGCAGTTTGTTTTGAAGCCCAAAACTTATGAATGAGGTATAACTACCACTTCCGATCCCCTACCAATGGCATCACAAGATTTCCCAATTTAAAAGCTACCAGGAAGGTACCCCCTGAATAGAAATCCAGTTACAAACAAGAAGGCTAACCGAAAAGCCCATTCCCAAAGGGAGATTTTAACATTTAAAATTTATTTCCTTTTCCACATCAGAAACAATGCTATGAGGAAAAAAAAGTAATTATTTACAAGCTCAAAGTTTAGCAACTTTGAGACAAGTTTCTGTGGGGGTTATTTTAAACTACTGGCTATATTCATTCAGTTTAAAATTTTTGAATCAACCAAAATGTCTTGAAGGCAGAGACCAGTGCATTAAAATACTGATCAATTAAAAAGGTTATCTGAACAACTCAACATTTTAAATAGTACAACTTTAAATCAGCTTTCTTACAGAAATATCATTCTTAAACTGGGGTTCATATTTAATTCATGCACATGAAGCTTGTCTTTTAAACATAATAATGGGGTATGTTAAAAAGAGCCAGTAATTTTTAGGTAATAGATTTTCTTCCTAGAATGCAGAATTAGGATCTCATTTAATTTGTACAATCTGGACCTCAGAATTGGAATATTTAGTAATAGCTAAACTTCTAGTTTGTAGCATATGCAAAAGCAAGAGTACTGTGAATTGCAAATAAAGACACAAAACTAACACAACATTCTATTATAAGGCATACACAGTCCCCAAATGACAATCAGGGCAAAGAATGATTAATTATTGTTACTCATTCATCTACTTTTCATTCATTTTTATCCCAGGGCAGGGTTGTTAACAAATATTAATAAGTCCATATATAAACATTCCCCTCCTTCTAGTGATCTTATTTCTTTAAGACAAAACAAAGCAAAACAAAACAGAACACCAGGTATTTTAAACCAAGGATTACCAAGTAAATCCTGCTACCATCAGATTCAGGAAAAGAAATTTCTAGTATTAGATCAGTGTTAACATCAAAAAACATGTGGTGTCTTGGTAGGGAAAATTTACAAGAAACTTCTACCACTCCCCCATAGAAATGTGCACCCTTGTAGAGAAGGTGCATAACTCTGTGGACTCCCAATCTGGGACCAGTTTCTGTGGGCAGTGACCCCTGAGACCATATACCCAGGATAGGTCACCCTATGAACAGAGGGTCCCTGGTTCAAGGAAGTGCCCAATTTATATTTGTGGCTATCCAAGGTACACTCTATTAATTTTTACTGCCTTAAAACAAATTGGCGGCTAGATTGAAGTCTCTATCATTTGATATGGATTCCTGGACTTTAACAAAAGTCCAAGTGTTCATTTCAATTCATCCATGGATGACTAAATTTTAGTGATTCTATAGCAAGACAGATAAAAAAATTAAAATTTAGTTTTCTAAAATTTCCAGTGAGACTAATCTACCTCTTGTTCTCTATTATCACTCAATATGCACAATCTAAAAATTTCCCACACCAAGAAATCAGTAATCCCTACTGAATGCCCAGTTTATTAGATCGCTCTCCCAACCAAGTATCCTTCATCTTCCAAACGAAGCAAACTAACACCTGAAGTTGGAAAGTGCATCTGTAAAAGTGTGTTGATAACATGGAGACTCTTTTCTGCCAAGGACCTACTGGAATGGCGCACACCCACCCAGGAGTGACAGCTGGCACAGGGCTGGTGGTGAGGAACGCTCAGGGGTCAATGCAAGTTGCAGACCCTCATGGTGTCCTGATTCGCTTTCAGGACAATGCTCTCACAATACAGCATGACCTCCATAGGGAGTTTAAAGACAAAAGCTAGTAAGAAATAAAATCTGAAAAGTAACTTCAAAACAATTTGTTTTGAAAGCTCCTGAAAGTGAGAGAAATGTTCAAATACTGGTGTTTGAAAGAGGGAAGACACAACTTGACACCTAATTCCAGTGTGGTTAAGCAGAGGAGCAGCAGCAGCTCCGCAGGCTTAGGGCGCCCTCTTCAGGCCTGTTTCCCTCTCTGTGTAAGTGGGCAGGAGCTCACTTCTCAGACAGAGGTGGGTTTCCACGGGGCCAGTGGGATGGACAAAAGCTCTTGGCCACCTCTAGTGAACGCGGTCCTTGACACCACCACGGCAGACCAGATGGAGTGGACGCTGAGCTCTGACACGCAAGCCCAGGGAACCAGGGAAGGAACTTGTATGAACTTACAGCGCAAACCGTCAGCAGACTGGGAAGAGTTTTGAGGGTTACGGTAAATGTTCAAGAGGGCAATGGTCTGAAATACAAAACGCAACAACTTTATATTACGGAAAATTAAATGTAAACACTTAACCGGCTGCCTCTGGCGATCGCTTCAGTCAAGATTCAGTGCTGAAAAAGAGCAAGTTATTTTCTTCAAAAGCAGATGTTTTCTTAGTTGGTGGCTGCCTTGAAATGCCCTAGCACTGCACATGACAGAGATCTCATGATATGCCAGTATTGTATTTCTGTTTATAGAAGGTAAAGACTCTCCATTGCAAAACTCCAACCCAGGTAAGAGTGTAATAGCTTGCCAGATTACAACCAAAATGTTCTTAGTACTGAGAACTTTTAATGAACCAAGAAAGAAAAGTGCCTATATAAACCGATGAAAAGGATTACTTAATTGAGAAATACAATAATTACATATCATGAAATATCCACTTCCTAGAGAAAAATCATAATGGTGAAATAAAACCCACACTTACTGGGCAACTTACCTTATTGATTCCTTAATATTTCTAAGATTTTTAATTTTACAGAAAGAACTTAATAAAGGCCAAGGGTCCAGTCATTGCAAAGACCAATGATCGGCTAGTTATGTTAAAACCCACTCACATGGACGGCCCTCTCTCATGACATTCATTCAGTCAGTGGAAGAGGCCCGGCCAGTGACCTTCCTGAGGAAAGCCTTCTGGACTAGAGGCCAAGTACCAAGCTCTTGCTGTGTGCGCCAAGGAGTTCCAGCACCTTGTCCTGTTTGCAACAGCTCTATGTCAGCAGCTCAGAAGCCAACATTATTTGTCTCAATTAAGAGTGGGCTCTTTAACACCATTGTTTTAAAAAAATTTCTCCAACTGTGGGACTTACAGTGTGAGCCGTCAGCCGTCTGTGCACTGTTTTGGGGATTACGATAGATGTTTTGAATCAAGATGGTCTGCGGGGAAAAAAAAATAAAAAGGGGAATTCTACTGGCTGCTGTGCATATATTAGACAATTGCAAAGAGACAATTTGTTTGCAAATGGCTAAACGTTTGTGTTTTTCCCCAAGTCAGACACTTGTCTTCTGAAGAGTCCACCAAAACCATCATATTATGAAAACAGAGTTTGAGCAGTGACTGGGTCAAGTCAGCCAGCAACCAAGAAGGAATCATAAATGCTGTTTTCAGCAGTCCCACGTTATTAATACTAAAGTGTTTTAATACAAGATAAACAATAGAACACTAAAATTTTCTTGTGCTTCAAGCTAGCAGACACTAAAATATTGAAAAATGCACATTATAATCATATTGCCCACACATAATTACTTTTCTAAACCAAATGCATAATTCATCTGTATGCAGTACATCAAATTCTCTGGCCTCAGGAAAACAGGCACACCAAACAGGTTTCTGAACTGTCATGGATACCTGACTCTTATTTACACTTTCTTGGTGGGATCTCTGTTTACATAATACAATAGCTTAAAACATTTGCTCTTTTCCGATCCTTCTTTTAAGGACAAAATCCTTTTAGCCCTTGTGCTTTAAACTGGATCAGGCAGACTTGAAACCTTACACTGTACCGTTCTTCTGAAAATCAAGTTGTCTGAAAAAACAAACCATGTTTAAGTTAGTAGGCTAATATATTACACGAATCTTAATGTCCATATCACTGTAAGAACCTTACAAAGAAACCCACCCTGAATTATGCTAGGGATTTCAAAGTCAAATTAATAAACTGTATTATTTAGAAAAGTAAATGTTCAGTCTTGACATGTGTGTAAAGCATTTTTGTGCATGGTTTTACAAAACCAGCCAGTTTGCTTCTAGCTACATTTCAAGGAGTGCGGCTGGCTGTATGAGAACACAGGTTTAGTGTGGGGAGACCCATGAGGGACGACCATCCATCAGTCAGATCATACAAAAGCCACCCTGGGGACTCGATAGGCATCTCTGGCATTTTCCCCATTCAACTTTAAACTGGAACCACGGGACCATGACAACTCTGATGGAAACCTACACTGAGCTCCATTACTCAACAGTGAAGTTCACTGCCGGTCTCACTCAAGTAATCTGACGGGCTGTTTAATGAAGGAAACGTCACATAAAGGGCAATGTTTAGGGGTGGTTAGGATTACCGAAACCCAACCAACTGAGCCAAAGGAGAAATCACAAGATGCTTAAGTTAATATACACTGTTAATCCCGTCAAACTTCAATGGAATCACCACCCTGTTTTGATCCACAAATTAGCTTCATATTTAACATTCAGAAGTAATCTATGATTCAGAAGGAAAATAAACAAAGTGCCTCTAGGCGGCTTACAGCAAAGTTTTCTAATAGAGAAAAGCCTGTCTCCTTCTCAGCCTGCAATTTGGTACAGCTCTAAGTAACTCTAGAATCAAAGAAGGGGACCCGTAAGGTACTTGGTTATTGCATCTATGGACACTGTTCAGCTGGGAGATTTAGCTCCTAAATCAATGCATTTTCAAAAAATAAAGAGGAAATTAAGGCAAGCTCTCCAATACTCTTAAGTTTCCAAAAAACAGATGTGTGCAGAGTTATAAAAAGACAGATTCTTGTCATACTGAATACTTGGCAACCAGGGCTGATGGAGAGAAAAGTCATCATCCTCTCCCTTCTAGTATCACAATACATTGTGGACTTTCCATGGGCTTCAGTTGGAAATACCAATGGGTCTTTCTTCTAGCTCACTTCTACCAACTGGCTGATTTTCTTAAACTTTTACAGATCCAATCTATTCTACTGGAATGACGTGAGCTCCAAGGCAGATGTGGCAGCTCCCAGAGCTATGTACAGTTACCCACTGGCTCAGAGGCTGCACATTCAGAATTCAAAGACAGGTCTTGAGGAGCTCAAATGGCCCTCATCCCAGAAAGACTTAATTACAGATTTCCAATTTCAAATGTTCTTGTAAACTGAGCAGTTTTTCGTGCCCATTAGAGATGCTTTTCCCCTTTAACTCATCAGTGATTCCTTGTAGGGTGGTGAGCCCTCACCTTTTCTTCGTTTAACCAAAAATAAAACCATAAAAGATAAAAAGTATTGAATGACCAAACTCAGAGCAGACCTAAGCCCAAGTTACTAGACATCTTTCAACTAACAGGCCTGCTCTAAATAATTTATGATAATTTTCTCCTATTAAGTTTCAATTTTAAAATTTCCCTGACACTATGCAACTTGCTGTTTCCTCAACCTGTAGTGTAAAAGTGGGGACACACCAGAAGCACCTGGCCACCCTCTGTGGAGCCATGTCTATTAGAGGACAGGGAAGATGATGGCAGGGTAGTGAATACCAGTTACAGCCAACACACTACATTAAATACTCATTTGCTAAGTTTCCCTGATGATAAACATCAGAAGTGGTACTCAGACTTCCTCTAGGAATGGTTCTCACACCTCCTTTATGAGAAGATACTCATAAACACAATTGGGGGGGGGGGAACAGAGCAAAAACTGACTTATATAATATGTGGAAATTAATTGCCTCTGAAAAGTATATGAAGTTTAGATAATTTACATAAAAACAGATTTAAAGAAAAGAAAAAACAAACAAACCTGGCTAAAGGTTGGTTTATTGTGCAATCGAGAGCATCTGTCTCCATGGCGACATGCTCCAATTTTGAAATAAAATGAACAGTTGACTCTGTAAGGGAAAATAAGAACTGATTATTTTGTTGGGAAGGTATCAAACAGATGGAAATATCATTACCATGATATATACACCACCAAACTACTTTTTCTTTGCTTCACAAGTACATAGGCACTGTTTTTCACTTGCAGCAAGCACCTTCCTCTTTTTTTGCAGTATTTGAGGGTGACTTAACTTCAACTTCCTTTTCTACAACTATGCCACTCTTTCAACAAAGACCACTAATTTTAACTTGATTCCTCATTCAAATTCTTCGGACTTCTGACTTAAACTTTCTGTTTTGTTTTCTCAAATAGAGTACTGGTCTTAGGCTGAAAAACTGACTTATATAATATGTGGAAATTAATTGCCTCTGAAAAGTATATGAAGTTTAGATAATTTACATAAAAACAGATTTAAAGAAAAGAAAAAACAAACAAACCTGGCTAAAGGTTGGTTTATTGTGCAATCGAGAGCATCTGTCTCCATGGCGACATGCTCCAATTTTGAAATAAAACGAACAGTTGACTCTGTAAGGGAAAATAAGAACTGATTATTTTGTTGGGAAGGTATCAAACAGATGGAAATATCATTACCATGATATATACACCACCAAACTACTTTTTCTTTGCTTCACAAGTACATAGGCACTGTTTTCACTTGCAGCAAGCACCTTCCTCTTTTTTTGCAGTATTTGAGGGTGACTTAACTTCAACTTCCTTTTCTACAACTATGCCACTCTTTCAACAAAGACCACTAATTTTAACTTGATTCCTCATTCAAATTCTTCGGACTTCTGACTTACACTTTCTGTTTTGTTTTCTCAAATAGAGTACTGGCCTTAGGCTGAAATAAACCTAAACTGTATCTGTTCTCTAGTGTTACTCAATGAGACTCTCTCCAGGGCACCACCACAGTGGAGGGAGTGCCCAGATCCTGATTCTGCTACCAATTGTCTTAGAGTCTCAGAAGCCATCTGTAAAACAAGGAAAACCTGGCACTCTTCTGAGAATTGGAGATGCCATGTGCGTGCTTCATACACTGCACTGTGCTCACTGAGCAATACCATTATCTAAGAAAAATAGGAAACAGTGTAGGCTCTCTGGAAACCTATGACATCAGACCAGTAGAAAACTTCCAAAAGTAAGTCTGAAGTTAACAATTCTCCTGGTTTCAGATGCTGAAAATGGGCTACTGGGAAACCAACAGGTCTTAGAAAACTACCTGAAGTCACCTTCTGCCTCTATTGCCAAGTCCCCCTTAATACTGTTCAAATATTTTGGTGATTCAGATCAAGTAAGAACAGCAAGTATGCCTGGGAGACAGCAATGGCAGGTTGCTCAGCAGGTCTTGCCGAATCATGAAATCCTACTAAACCAATCTCAACCTGTACAGGAGGGGGGGCTACCTCATAGATTCAACATTTCAGCAAGTGTCACATGTTGATACAGTTAAACCGGTGTTGAGATTAAGGGTTTCAATCGCAATCAAGATGGACCATGAAGACTACCTAGTCACTGATTATCAGGCGGAAATAAAAATGAGAAACTGACTTTAGTGGAGGAGGAAAATGATCACTATGATATGTATAAACTTACGCATGTCTTAATTTAGACTGCCTAACTTGGACAGTAAGATATCTTTAGTAAGTTACCTGTAGTTAAGAAAGAGTATATCGAAACAAAACCCCAGAATGGGCAAAAACCCGGCCTGAACAATTAATACCCAACTGTTCCATATAATCACAACAATCCTTGTTCCTGTACTTCCAGCATTGGTTTTCATTTTGAGAGTTCAGTAAACTAATCAATCATTCCTAAAGTTTACTAACTAGTGATCTCATTACACTACTAAATAAAAAGAAAATAAGAGAAAGGCATGACTTACTATAACATACAAGTTAGGAGGCTAATGGGGCCCAGCAGCAGTAAACCTGCTGGTTGACACTGCTACCTGACACTCTCCCCTCCAGGCTGAGGCCATGCAGGAGGCCTGGCTTCGATCCCCAGCCTACTCTAAAAACCCTGGTGTGGTGGTCTGTGCTTGTAGTTCCAGCTATTCTGGAGTCTGAAGCAAAAGGACTGCAGCATAGCAAGAGGCTTGAACCTAGAAAATATCCATACCTTTAAATGTATGAGTTAATTCTTTTGTTACAGACCTATACATTACTTTTAGCCTAAATGTAAAAAATAAAAGAATCCTCATTTCTTAGGAGCTGATATTGCTTCCTGGATGCTAAAACCCCAGTCTTCCTACAATGAGAACACGTCCAACCTAAATTAGTCAACTCTTCAGAGTTAAGGTCATGATTTTTCTCAGTCCTGAAAGACTGAAACTGGTTTTGATTATTTATAATAAAAATATAAAGAATGTCTTTAGAATAAACCTCTAAAGTTAAAAGTACTGTAGAGTCATCACAATGAAGATGACAACTGATACAAGATTTTTATAGGATGGAAGTCATGACACAGACAAATACAAACGAAGGGCAAAATTAATAATGTCCCAATTTGAAGGTGTAAGTCCTTTAGCTAAACTCAGCAAAGCCTTTTTTCAGGCAGAGTGGCCTATTCATTCACCAGACTTGTATTTAAAAGCCAGCTGCCAAAGCTAACTTCGCTGTGCCCTCACATTTAACACATTTCATTTTAATTATCCTCAACACAATATCCACCTCCTCCCTAGCTGAATTCCCTGAGGACAAGACCCAAATGTTGTCTATCTTTAGGTACGCAGAGATTGGCTCATGGATGACATCTAATAAATACTTCTAGATTATAACTGGTCATTTTGGCATGTGATTTTGCTAGAAAGAAATATAGCCCCTGCTTCCAAGCAACACAGCTCATTCTATCATTTGTAAAGAAGACATTTACAAGATAGACTTCTTCCTGCAAAACAAAAACATTTTAAGAAGTGTTTGAAAAGTAGCATTAGAAACATTACCTATGGTAAATTTAAGAACATGAATGAGGAGACTTCAAAGAGCTTGTGGGAAATGGAATTAAAGCACGAGCTTATTTTTGTACAGGAAAATTTTGAAGCCCGTGGATTTTTTTTTTCCACGCTAAACAATTTCCATGAATATTTTGAAGACCCTTGGTATTCGTTTAAGCTATGTATGGTATCGAAATGTGCTAAAGATGTTAGCTACTTTAAGAGTAGATTAAGCCAGATGCTTAATCTTTAGGTTTTTCAAGGTAAGAATTATCCTTCGAAGTGTCTACAAACATTTCCTTTAGTCTAAACTTTAGCCAACTCGCTGGAAATTAATGCGTCCCAGGTGGCAATTAAACAGACGTGAAAATAAATTTCAAAATCTAACCTAACAATTGACTAGCGAAGGGATGCAATCTTTCGAAAAAAAGAAAACGGAACGCCGAAACACATTTCTCCTCGTACTGAAATTAGACCTTCAAGCGTTTTTAGGAGTAAATTTGATCTTTTACGGTTAGCTAATCCTGTCGTCTCCATGACACTTTTTCACGTCAAATGTCCTTATGGCGGCCCGCTCCTAGCTTGAACAGGCGAGAAGCCTGTTGAGCGGCTAAAACCCCAACGATTATACCGTAAGTTATCTAGCGAGGCTGGTGCTACAACTTGGTGAACACGTTAAAAGCCTAAAGTTGGAGCAAACGTGTTAACGTGGAAGAGGCCGGGGGCCGTCAGACAACTTCAGCCCTCTCGAGACGCTGCTGGGAGCCTGGCAGCCTGGGCGCCGAGGCCGTGGCGCCAACTGCC